AACAGTCTTTTCCTGTCATTTCAAACAGATCTGTTTTAGAAACCAGCTGCTAACAGAATATATTTACCTGTTCACACAAACTTACTTGTGTCCCATTAGCAGAGCATGGCTGTTATAAATACTACAAAACTACAATGAAAAAAGGGAGGGGTACTACATTTAGGGAGAAAGAAAAGATAACCACTACTGACTAAAAACCCAAGAGAGGAGATCCTCAAATTCCTTACATACAATGCCATCTCTTGAAATGCTACATTTTATGAACTTAGTCAGACTTGCTTTTATACCGTTTAAATCTTAAATTTGTTGTAAAGAGACCCCTCAGCATCTCAATATTAAAAACATTATTATCAAAGACACAATTCAGAGTCCTTCAATCCTCATTTTTTCTTATCTTGTCTCTTCCGCAGTTTATAAGGACTTTTAGGAGCCGCTGCCCCCTTCTCAGAGAGTCCTCTCCAGAAGACCCCGAGTCCAGCTCGCCAATGGACTTACTGTCCTTTTCCTCTTTATCCACCTCCTCGGGCTCACCCTGCTGGATTCTCAAAAAGTCCCGAGCTTTGGAAGCAGAGTCAATCTTTTCTTTTTTATCCTGAAGTTTGAAGGTTACACCCTCTGGATATAACCACCTGTAGCTGATTGCATTGGTTTGAAGAAAAATAATTAAATCTTTGTATTTCTTTCTCCGTTGTCTTATTTCAAATGGGATATCTTTCAGTATTCGAATGGTACTGTCCCCAATTTTCAAGGCTGCCCCCGCCATCGCTCTTAGGATACAATCCCTCACATATCTCTTCGAGAATCTCATTACAATTTCCCCAGGCAGACTCTTCTTCTTTATGTATATGGAGTAGGCCCTGTAGACCACATCCATTTCGCTCATAAGATAGTCCGCCTTCAAATCTGTCACTGGGGCCAATGCTTCACTCATCGTTTGCTTTAGATTCTCTCCTTTAATCTCTGGAACACCTTGGAAACGAAGGACCAGATTTGCCTTCTCCATTTGTAATTGTAAAAGCTGTTCTTCTGTTGAGATTTGCTTTTTTTCCAATTTTTGCACCTTTTTCTTCACCCTTTGAGCAGTTGCGTCAACTTCTTATAAGTTTATGCGCATGGGAGGGGCCCCTCCCCCGCTCACTTTACTCTCTGGTCTGTGGGGTGGGGGGGGCTTTCTTTTAGCTTAGCAAAACCGCTCTATTCCGACTCATGTTCATATTTGGTCATCCGACCACGCTTTGCCTTCGGATTTAGCAGTTCGATCTCCAACGCTTGTCCCAGTCAGCGCCACTAATTCCATACCGACACTCGGCAGAAGGACCACGGGGACGGAGAAGCGCCTTGATTTCCCAGCATCGCGCTGGCAAAGAGGTGACCTCTCAAGAGTCCCTTGGCCAGGAGCCTTTCACCAGGCTCCTGGGGGGGTATGATGCCTCGCCCCCCCCTTTCTGCCAGTGCGCAGCTTCACCCCTGGGAGGTCCAGGAGGTGTGACTGCTCAGCGTGCCACCATAGACCGGAAGTCGCAATGTTGGTATTTCTCATAAGATCTCCACTCAGTATGATTCTTGCTGATTGTGTTATATATATTGCTTTTACCATATTGTAAAAATGTTCTCCACATTTCCAGGCCAGCAGTTGTTCCAACATAAAAGCCCAATTAAGACTGTCAAAGGCCTTTTCTGCATCCAAAAATAATAATGCCATTTGTTTTTCAGGATGTGCTTCAAAATACTCCAATACATTCAAAATAGTTCTTACATTGTTTCTCATTTGTCTCTTTGGCAAAAATTCCACTTGATCTTGAGGGATTATTTTAATCAAGACCTTTTTCAATCTATTTGCCACAACAGAAGCATATATTTTGTAGTCTACATTAAGAAGAGATACTGGCCTATAGTTTTTGATTTCACTTCCATTTGTATCCACTTTATGTATTAACGTAATCAGTGCTTGATTCCATGAATCTGGTAATTTATTTTGTTCACATATACTTTGTATGGTGTCCTTCAAAGGTTTGGTCTTCAAATATCTGGTAAAATTCAGTGGGTAAGCCATTTTCTTCTTCTGTTTTTTTATGGCTTCTATTATTTCTGAAAAAGACATTGGTTCGTTTAACATTTTCCTTTGGTCTTCTGTAAATTCCTTTTTATTATGTTTTTGTAAGAAGTCTCTGATCTGTTCTTGATTGGAGTTTGTTTTTAAATATAGGTTGCTATAAAACCCGTCTGCAATCTCCTTTATTTCTTTAAGAGTATTTTTCTCTTTACCTTTTTCATTTTTTAGTAATTTTATGTTTCTTTTCAGCTTGTTTTCATAATTTATATGCTAACCATCTAGTAGGTTTATTTGCATTTTCAAAATAGTTTTGTTTTGCATACATAATTTTCTTTGCTATTTCTAGTGTTAACAGACAGTTAAGTTGATGTTGTAGGTTTTTAATTTTTATTCTCCTCTGTTCTGTTACCGGTTCAGAATGCATCTTTTATTCCTTTTGTTTAATTTGCTCGTCAATTTGGCTAAATTTCTGCTTTCTTTTCCTCTGGGCATGCGTGGTTGGGGTTCCTGCACATGCCCGAGGTGCTGGTGCAAAAATCCCTTTTGAGCTTTCTATGATACTGATAGGTTCAGTGCAGGTGCACTAAACCCATGGGTGTGAAACACAGATACCATGTTGAAGATCTCCATGATGTGGTAAGGGAGAAAAAAGAAATATTCAAGAAATGGAGGCAAGGACATTCCTCTAAAGAAGAATATCTGTGGGTTGCTAGGCACTATAAGTCAGCCATCAGACAAGCCAAAGCTCACAGTGAGCTAAAACTGGCCAGGGAGGCTCACTACAACAAGAAAATCTTCAGATATGTGAGGAGCAAACACAGGATAAAAGAGAAAATGGGCCCACTGTTGGGTGAAAGTGGAGAAACTTTGATAGAGGACAGAGAGAAAGCAGAAAGGCTTAATGCCTATTTTGCCTCAGTCTTTTACCTGAAGTAGAGAACAGACTCATCTAGAGATGGTAGTAGGCAAGGCACGGCATCCGGGCTGCTTGTTGACATGGACAGAGAGGTAGTTGAGAAGCACCTGGCTGCATTGAATGAGTACAAATCCCTCAGGCCAGATGGTTTGCAACCAAGAGTGCTCAAAGAACTTTTTAGAGAGCTTGCAGAGCCTTTGTCCATCATCTTCCACACCTCTTGGAGTACAGGAGATGTGCCACAAGACTGGAGGAGGGCAGATGTTATCCAAATTTTCAAAAAAGGGAGGAGGGATGACCCAGGAAACTACAGGCCAGTCAGCCTGACCTCTGTCCCAGGGAAGATATTGGAGCAGAGTCCAGTATCTAACTAAGCACTTAGTTAATTTCCATGTTATTTTAAACTTTTAGTCTATGATAAACAGCTCAAGCCTTTCAAAGCCTCATGATTGTGACTACACAGATATGATATGGTGCATTTCTAGTGGTGTGTATAAGTAATACCATTAATACAGTGCAATCATAAACAGAGTTACACCCTTCTATATCAACTGACAACAATGGGCATAACTCTGTTTAGGTTGGCATTTTCAATGTGACAAAGATCACAATTAGTCTTGTTACACTAACTGGAGGAAAACAGCCAGTCATAGTTTCCCCCCCATGGTTAGAATTCCCCATAAAAGATTTTCCCATTCGGGATGATCCGATAGAGACTGAATTTCCCACAAAATGCAGTCAGACCAAATGTGTCTCCAAAAAACTCCCCTCCCCTGCTTGAATACCTCCCCTTTCTTACCTTTTGTGATAGTTCCCCACAGGGTTGCCAGCCCCCAGGTATGAGTGGGGGATCCCCCAATCTCGGGGGCTTCTCCCTGCTGCAGACCAGCTGTCTGACAGGGGAAACTCTGTCCCTAAACAGGGACGTCACCATGCAATGTCCCTGACACGATGACATTACCCAGAAGCGATGTCATCGTGTCAGGGGTGTTATGTGGAAACAGTCTGATATTTGGGTAAAACTCTATGGTTTGAGGGAGAGTTTCACCCAAAAACTAGAGCGTTGCCCCCGACATCGCCATCATGGTGACGTCACTTCTGGGTGACATCATGATGTCTCATGACATCACTGCCCACCCCCAGAAACCCCCCCTAAATTCCCTGCTGGATTGATGAGGGGACCTGGCAACCTTAGTTCCCCAGGAACAGGAAAAACCCATTCCTCCCTTTCAAGTTTCAATCAATCCAATTGCCTGTCTGAAGTACCTACCTCACACACTTCCCTTTTTTCCAAGCCTGGAAAGAAAAGCATCTATTATTTTTGGACATGGCTACCTGCCCTATAATTGGGGATGTATGTGGGATTAAAGGTGGGTCTAGAAAGGTTAAAGACCACTGGATTAAGCTAATGTAGTGAGATAATATCCTGCTATGCACTATTCAACTAGTGCCAGCTAATTTGGGGTGTGGGCTGGGGAAAACACCACATAAAGTCAGTACAACATACCCTGCATGTTACAAGAAAAGACTGGAAGATACACAGTGCAGCAGCTTCAAGTCTCTCTTAGCATCGGGGTCTACCCCCACATTCCCCAGGCACCAAAGCTGAAGTCATTCGTTCTTCTGTACCCCCTCTTCTTCAACTTATCTGAAAATTCTAGTCTGTAGCAATTTTATCAGGCATGAACAGCAAAAAAAATGGAACACGCGAACAAAATCATTTCTAAAAAATAGTACAAGTGACTGCTTTTGTAAAATGAACTAAAGGAGATGGCCCAATCATTTCTTTTCAAAGAGTAAGTGAAAAGTGTCACTGTGGTTATAATAGAGGTAGCATTGCATTTGGGAATAGATAGGTAGTACTTTGGTTCTCCACCTGTCTTTGGTCAAGCAGGTTTTTGAAAACCATTTGCAAGGGTCCACCTGTAAACATGCTGGGCAAATAGGCCTTCTATCACACCATCCTTAAACTACTCAATAAAACCTAACCAACTGCCACAACAGAGTTTTGGTAACAATAAACTCTCATACCCCATGTTCCATCAGAAAACATGTCCTGAGGGCAAGGAGTGCAGAAGGAGGAGCCGTTGTTGTTGTAGAAGCCTGGGTTGCAAGGGGGACACTCCTTCCTCTCTCCAGAAGGAGGCAGTGTCACAGCTCCAGGAAGGTCCTCCCTACAGATCTTGGACTCCACCCATTTGTACATGAGCTGAGTCTAAAACAAATGAGGCACAAAATAAAAATAATTAAGCTATCACTAGGCCTGATGTTTAAACAAGTGCCTATCACCTATTAGGCAGGTACAGGAAGGTTGGAGAACAGCAAGAGAGAACAGAAGGAGTGCTACCAAAAGGTAAAGGGGGTGGGGGGGGGAAGGCAGATCTTACAGTCACAAATGAAATCTTGCACAAATAAGACTTGGAAAGATGGTAGCAGTTAACCAGTAAATGACAAATGAACAGTGGTAAAAAAAAATGCAATAATAAATTTTTAAAAATTAGTATTTTCTGCTGTCTAATGGCACCTGAAGTGGGCTTCTTCAGCCTCACTAAGAGCCATATCAGATATAGCAGTGGATCCTGCAGATTTTACTCTTTTTGTAGATTTTACTCTTTTTGCAGATTTTACTCTTTTGCAGATTTTACTCTTTTTGCAGATTTTACTCTTTTGCAGATTTTACTCTTTTTGCAGATTTTACTCTTTTGCCTACACTGAAGATGTTCTCTTTAAGAGTCTTCCCTCAGGAGAAGGATCCTACCACTGGAGAAAAGCACTTTGCTAGCAGAACAGATCCACTGGATTGAACCCCAATTCTTTAAATTCAAATTGTCTGATTGCTTCAGAACTGGTTTACAAACATCCTTTCTCTTATCAAGTGAGCTACAACATTGTTACTATCTTAAAGGATCGCTGCTGGGTAATAGATATGATAGAAATCAATCCAGGCCTCTTTTTGTAGAAAACGCCCAGCAGGAACTCATTAGCATAACAGGCCACACCCAACAGCAGAAACTCATTAGCATATTAGGCCACAGCCCCATGTTACCAGAAGTGTGGTCATCCAGCCACACTTGTAGAAGATCACAGCTTTTTTATATGCTCAGCAAAAACTTTTAATAATGGAAAGCCACAATCTCATGCAAGTTTCTCTTTCAGTCACTTGCAAACGCTCCAGCAAGTGGTACACATTCTGTATGGTCCATGTTTCACAGGGCTAGCAGATCTACTATCTGGAAAAGACATCCTTCCTTCTCTAGTAAATTATGACTAATATGTTGCCAGTACTCCACAAACCACAAAGCATTTAAATTAGCAAACTATGTACGTTAGGTAACATTCTACCTTTTCTAAATCAGCAATGTTAACAACTGACATGCTAATTTAAGTAATCAACATACCTTCTTTACCCTGGGCACTGGGTCAGGCCCCAGTTTTGCACCATTTAAGTACAGAGAGAGTTTAACCACCCTGGCAACCTGGTCACATGATCTGTATAAGCACATGCAACCCCCCACCTAAGAATTCTGTCCTTCAAATAGTTCTTTTCCTTCTTTTCAGGAAGGAAAATAATTGCACTTTTTAGTTCTTTGATAAATCAGACAAAATCTGCTAGAAGATTAAAAGGCACATTATCTGTAATCTACTGGCTGCTTAGTCAAATAACAGAGGTTAATGGAACTGCTTCTGACTTAAGTGGTTTCTAAATTGTGACCAATGCAGTTCACAGTCTTTCTAAACTTATTTCTAAAATTTACAGTCATTCATTGCATTTTATTGCTTTCCAGTCTATCTTATGCTCTTCTTCCTAGGAAGTGTTTAAGAGGTGCCTATACCTTTGCCCACTAACATCCGTATGCTTATGCACTTTCCAATTCCAGAAGAACAAGCATAGAATGTGCAGGCTTTCAAAGTGAAACGTGAAAGGACATTATTGTCACAGCACTTCCCTCTAAAATCAAGTCAAAATATTGAAATCGCTTAGCAAAATCCATTAAAAAATATTCAGCAATTACCGGCTTTATGTGTTTCTCACAAATCATGCCAAGCAGCATGAAGGGGGGAAAAATACAGAGAAAGCACTCCTAACCCCCCATCCCAAACCAAGGATGTACTAAAAGGAAGGACAGGGTTGCCCATTGGAAACAATGGGAAACACTTGAAGGCCCATTGGAAATAATGGGAGCCAGAAATGCCAATTGACTTGCATGGGCTCCATTGAAATACATTACAGTAAAAGTAGAGTTGCAATAAAAATGTGGAATGGATTTTCCATTAGGGTCTCTGGGCACAAATACACTACTCTGGGAATGGAATGAGAGACCATGGAGTGGAATGACAGCCCCAGGATATAGCAGGAGTGTTCAGGGACTGGAATGACAGGCCCCAGGGTGGAATGACAGCCCCAGGGTGGAGCAGGAGTGTTCTGGAACTACAATGACAGGCCCCAGAGTGGAATGACAGCCCCAGGGTGGAGCAGGAGTGTTCAGGGACTGGAATGAGAAACCACAGAGTGGAATAACAGCCCCTGGGTGTAGCAGGAGTATTCTGGAACTGGGATGGCAGGCCCCAGAGTGGAATGGCAGCCCCTAGGAGTAACAGAAGTGTTCTGGGACTGGGATGACAGACCACAGAGTGAAATGACAGCCCCTAGGAGTAACAGAAGTGTTCTGGAACTGGAATGAGAGACCATGGAGTAGAATGACAGCCCTTGGGATTAGCGGGAGTGTTCAGGGACTGGAATGACAGGCCCCAGAGTGGAATGACAGCCCCAGGGTGTAGCAGGAGTGTTCAGGGACTGTAATGAGAGACCACGGAGTGGAATCACAGCTCCAGGGTGTAGCAGGAGTGTTCAGGGACTAGACTGACAGGCCCCAGAGTGGAATGACAGCCCCAGGGTGTAGCAGGAGTGTTCAGGGACTGTAATGAGAGACCACGGAGTGGAATCACAGCTCCAGGGTGTAGCAGGAGTGTTCAGGGACTAGACTGACAGGCCCCAGAGTGGAATGACAGCCCCAGGGTGTAGCAGGAGTGTTCAGGGACTGTAATGAGAGACCACGGAGTGGAATCACAGCTCCAGGGTGTAGCAGGAGTGTTCAGGGACTAGACTGACAGGCCCCAGAGTGGAATGACAGCCCCAGGGTGTAGCAGGAGTGTTCAGGGACTGTAATGAGAGACCACGGAGTGGAATCACAGCTCCAGGGTGTAGCAGGAGTGTTCAGGGACTAGACTGACAGGCCCCAGAGTGGAATGACAGCCCCAGGGTGTAGCAGGAGTGTTCAGGGACTGTAATGAGAGACCACGGAGTGGAATCACAGCTCCAGGGTGTAGCAGGAGTGTTCAGGGACTAGACTGACAGGCCCCAGAGTGGAATGACAGCCCCAGGGTGTAGCAGGAGTGTTCAGGGACTGTAATGAGAGACCACGGAGTGGAATCACAGCTCCAGGGTGTAGCAGGAGTGTTCAGGGACTAGACTGACAGGCCCCAGAGTGGAATGACAGCCCCAGGGTGTAGCAGGAGTGTTCAGGGACTGTAATGAGAGACCACGGAGTGGAATCACAGCTCCAGGGTGTAGCAGGAGTGTTCAGGGACTAGACTGACAGGCCCCAGAGTGGAATGACAGCCCCAGGGTGTAGCAGGAGTGTTCAGGGACTGTAATGAGAGACCACGGAGTGGAATCACAGCTCCAGGGTGTAGCAGGAGTGTTCAGGGACTAGACTGACAGGCCCCAGAGTGGAATGACAGCCCCTGGGTGTAGCAGGAGTATTCATTCCAATCCCTGAACATTCCATTCCCAGAGCAGTGTATTTTGGCCCAGAGACCCTAATGGAAAATCCATTCTGCATTTTCATTGCAACTCTACTTGTACTGTAATATATTTCAATGGAGTCCATGCAAGTCAATTGGCATTACTGGCTCCCATTATTTCCAATGGGCCTTCCAGTGTTTCCCATTGTTTCCAATGGGCAATCCTGTCCTTACTTTTAGTACATCCCCCCAAACCAATGATCCTGACATTTGTCAGCCAGAGCTACCATAAATCTGAAAGGATGCAAGGGGGGGGGGGAATCCCTGGCTAAATGAAGCCGGGCACTGGATTCCAGTTCTGTTTTGCTACTACGGGCTAATATGGCTACCCACCTGAAACTATCTTCATAAATTCTGTGAGCTTAGAAGTCTAGCCAAGTTGCAAATGCTTATCACATAAGCTTCTGTATAACAGAATCTGAAACAAACTTGAACCTGGAGTGAACAAAGATGAAGAAGAACTAAAGTTTTGATATTGAATTGACAATGAAGAATATAGATCTTTTAAAGAATAATTATGACAAGTTATGGTG